TAGCAAAACTGTGAGTCAGAAGTCAGCTCGATGGCAGTGGTATCTTAATGTTTAATATTTTATTCTGTGGCAAGCACATTCTCTTTTATCCTTATAACTTACTAGGTCAGTGCTGTAGATCCACTAGCTCTTATCATCAGTTCAAAAACCAGAAAGCCTTGAAAACCAAAGCTTTTCTCATGAACCATTTGACAGCAAAATCTGACATGATCTGAATTTATTTAATGACAAAACCTGACTTAAACTGCCATGAAGCTAATTATAGTCTTTATTCCACTTTGTCTTACTTAGTGTTGCTGTAGCGTTAACAGAAATTTATTTAAATTTAGTTTAAATTTAAACTTTTAGTTCTGGAGGCTAAAAGTCCAAATCCGGGCCTCAGCCATATCAGTTCCTTCCTTGTAGTTAATCGCTGGCCTTCCTTGGTTCCTTGGCTTATAGATGATCCTCACATGGTGTCTGTCTACCCCCCGCCCCCCGCCCATGTGCATGCGTCTGTGTCTAATCTGCTCTTTTTAAAACTCAACAGTGGTTAGGTTTAGGATACACTCTACATTAATATGGCTTCATTAAAATACAAAGAAACCCTATTTCCAAACAGGATTACATCCACCAGGCATAAAGGGTTAGGATTATAACACATATTTTGGGGAGACACGATTCAATCTATAACACACTTAGTGTGAATATTCATCCATATGTTTTGTTGTAGAAATACTATGTTTTGTTATCGGATGCTGTCATTTACTTACAATACTTTGGGGTATTTTGTCATAGATGGTATATGCCTTTTATATCTTCTTAAAATATGAAAAATTCTGTAACACATCTGGCATCAAGGGTTTTGGATATATAATAACTGACAGCTTGAATTATTCTCATTTTACATATGAGGAAATTCAAAGGTGAAATAATGTGCCTAGACCTTTGAACCCCAGGACTATTTGCCTTCAAGTCAAATCCCAAGAATAGTCAACATGGAGATGGAATGTTTTAATTCAGATAAAGCTGTTAAGAACAGACTCTGCCCACACTGTGTCAAAATAGTCTTCTTAGTGGGAAAAATAAACCACTTTTGTGATGTTATATATACTGGTATCAGTTCAAAAATAACTAGAATTTGACTGTCTGAAATTAATAGCTTTTAACCAATTATTAAAGATGTTTATTAGCTAAATGATTTGTCCTCAAACTTGCTTTAAAATTCCCCCAAAATACATCTATTTTTTTAAGCATCAAGACTTCTGAAAAGGTTTGTGTACATTAAATACTGGAATTATGGGTACTTAGCAGTGGATTCTCAAGCAGTCACTCACTTGCATTAAATTACTTCATCAAAAGGAACTAACTGATTTCAGTAAATTCACATTGTTCTTTCTAGGCATGATCACCGATCTTTTCATAGATAAGTTCAAGTTCAAAGGCACCAATGTGAAAACCAAAGTACCTCTACTCCTGGAGATTCTGGACAGTTATGACCAGAATGCATTGATTGCTTTCTTTGATGCTGCTTGAGATATAATCAAGGTAAAGTCCCAAAGAAGTGGTCTGTTTGAAAGGAAAATATTAAAATAGAATTATAAACTTAAGTGTGTATATACTTTTATTTCAAAAGCTTTTTCATAACATCTAAAAATATTTCAGATATGACTTTAAGTAATGCTTCTATTTCCTTTGACAGAGGAACTTTTTAAAAATAATTTTTATATTTAAAGAACACCAGTGGATGACTGTTTTGATCAGGGTCACAATAGATGGTCCCAGATAGAATGGGAGAAAAATGTGGAGTAGAGCTCAAATTCTTATTAAAAACAAAAAAAGCCAGATAAACTGGAAAGTAGAGAACAGAGGATTCCCTGAGACTATCACCCTGAGACCCTCTTTAAACCTAGAACTGAGCCTATCCCGAGAGATCACCCTTGAGTGAAATAGCAGAGTGGCACACAAAATAAAGGATATTACCTGTAAGATCAGTGCTCTACTTAAAAACCATCAGTGTGAGACCAAAAGGTCAGCAATTATTCAAAAGCTAAGATGGGAAGATAAGGGGCAGGGAAACTAGAGTACTGGAAATAGAACAAATAGAACACAATTAAAGAGAATGTTGGCATTGTGATAAATGGTACTAATTCATTGAACAATTTGTGCGGAAATTGTCAAATGGGAACTTGCTGTGTAAACTTCATTGAAAATTCAATAAAATATTTTTTAAAAAAGTGAAATAAGTATAAGGTGTTTTCATGAATTTTTAGTAATTAGATGTTTTGATTTTTAAATAGAAATATTTGGAAAATCAAAATATATTCAAATGTTTTAACAAGCTACATATACACATACATTTATGTATAAACTGCTTTACAGTTTTCAGAATGTATTTGCATACATTACCTTATTAGATCTTCACAACAGTCCTGTAAGTTTGTCAGAGCATATAAGAAAACCACTTGTCAGCGAGGTTTAAGTGACATGAGGTTAAGAGGACATGCTATTAATTTGTCAAGCTGGCATCAGAACCCAGTTTCTGGCACCAGGCTTGTATCCCAGTTACTGTGTTGTCAACAAGTGGAAATAACCGACCAATTATTTTTTGTAGGAGCTGAGATTGATTTCTGCCTTGCTTAGTAGTAACATTTTGTGACCCATGCTGCAGCTTGTGAAACGCCTTAGTTGTTTTCTCAGTGCCGTAAACTTCAGTCAGGGAAATGAGCAGCTTACACAGATGGGAGGGATCTTAACTACAAGTGCTGTAAGCAGTCAAGCTATGCAAGCTGCTACCCAGAAGAGTGCAAAAATAGCGATGGCTTCTGAGATTTTCCTGCACTACCATCACTAATTTCCTTTTTATCAGATATGAAGGGAAATACGATTTTAAGAACACAGATTTTTTTTGTTCATTAATGTAAATTTATTCATTTTCAGGAGAATATTGTCGCTATGAGTCAGAATTGACTTGATGGCAATGGGTTTGGTTTGGTTTTATTGTCTTTAACAGTTTGCTTTAAAATGACGAAGATTGTAATGGTAAAAAGGCTAATTGTCTATGTTTTCAAGAAGCGCAGACTCAAGAATTTGTCAGAAAACAATAATGCTTCTGAATTACATTCCTTTATATTTATTAGTTATGTGGAAGTCTTGTTATAAAATATGAGAATTTGTTAAAGGTACATATTATAGCTAAGAGAGTTTTGTTTTAGTAAGGTCATTGTTTTTAAACAGTCTTCATTTGTAAATGGAACATCTAGGTCACTAGAATTTCATTGTTTTTTGTTGGCTGCTTCTATATAAAAGGCCACTGGTTGGGAAAAAGTGTATAAAAATTAATGACAGTCCAGTTGAATTACTTGTAGTACATTATTATTTGTTATATATATTAGTAGTTCAAGACGGCACCTTATATTGTATTTTCTTGGAACAAATAAAAAGCATAAGACACAGTCTGCCTACTGTCAGTAAGCATCTACATCCTAACATGGCATTATAGTCTGCCACTATGGTTATGCATAGTATTTCATTTAATCCTTACGACAATCCTATGTCGTGTAGGTATTACTTCCAATAAACACATAAGAAAACAGACTGGAGACATT